CGGGACGCGGCGCGGCCCCCACGTGCGGCACGAACCAGCGGTCCCGCCCCCTGCGGGCCCTCGACCCGCCCCCTGCTCTCGCGAGACTGCCGCGAGGTCTCTTCTCGCGAGACTTTTCCAGCGAAAGACATAGTGTTTTTCGGTTACTTCCCGCGAGACTGCCCTCCATTCCCTGTCTAAACTTTTTAGGTATGTCTCCTCTCGCGAGATCCTTGCGGAGATGGAGCCGGCTTTTTCGCATGCCTCTCGCGAGACTGCCCCCCCCCAGTTCTAACTCTCGTAAGATTCTCTCAGGAGGTAAGACGGACCTTCTCATGCCTCTCGCGAGACTGCTGTTTTTCGGTTACTTCCCGCGAGACTGCCCTCCATTCCCTGTCTAAACTTTTTAGGTATGTCTCCTCTCGCGAGATCCTTGCGGAGATGGAGCCGGCTTTTTCGCATGCCTCTCGCGAGACTGCCCCCCCCCAGTTCTAACTCTCGTAAGATTCTCTCAGGAGGTAAGACGGACCTTCTCATGCCTCTCGCGAGACTGCTCTCCCCCTGCTTCTCCCCGCTTTACCCGTGCCTCTCGCGAGACTGTTTTCTTCCCGTGTCTAGCTTGCCTCCTCTCGCGAGACTCGCTCAGCAGGCGGGGGAGAAATGAGAGCGGCTTTTTCCCACCTCCCCCCACATCTCGCGACGCTCTCCTGGAGGCGCGTTGAAAAGGACGGCCCTTAGCAGCAGTCTCGCGAGAGAAAGCGGGAGGAGAAGTCTCGCGAGACGGTCCAGCTGACGGGCGCTGCCATCTTGCCGCCGGGGGTCAGGGGGACGCGGAGGAGATGCTGTCGCGCCTGGTTCTGCGCGCTGGTGAGCCCGGGCGGTTGCCCTTCCCCGCCCCCTTCTCTGTAGGTGGGGGGTGGTGTGTCTCTTCGTCTCGCTAACGCGTTCTGCTCTTCTCCTTGCAGCTCCCGCGGCTCTGAGGAACCTGTCTCCGTCCCTGTCGGCCGGGTAAGGGGCGGGGCGGGGAGCGGCAGTGACCGGGGGGGCTCTCCCAGCGGCACCCCCCTGCTTATCCCGTCCCCAAACGGGCTTCCCTGACGGTTCTTCTCGGTTCCTTACAGCACAGTGCACGCGGCGAGGAGCTTCCATGGCAGCCAGCCGTGCACGGCCCCCTACCCCCCGATCCCGGAGAAAGCAGGCGCCGTGCGCTTTGGAGTCATCCCCGAGGAGTTCTTCCAGTTCCTCTACCCGAAAACGGGAGTCACCGGTAATGCTGCCGTGCGGCGCGGGCGCAGGCGTGGGGCCCGCTCTGAGCGCTGGACAGACGAAGCCCTTGGCGTGTTGCGAGGGTTACGGGCGTTGTCTTTTTTTCGATCTTCTTTCTAGGACCGTACATGCTGGGGACTGGGCTGATCTTGTACTTGCTGTCCAAGGAGATCTACGTCATTAACCACGAAACAATCACCGCTGTGGCCACTTTGTCGCTTTTAATCTATGGAGTGAAGCGTTACGGGTCCCGTGTAGCAGCTTTTGCTGAAAAACTCAATGAGGTAATTCTAGGCAAGACGATATCGTTTAACCTTACGCTGACACTTGTTGTAAAACGTTTCCAGAATAACAGCCGCCGTCCTCGGCTGTGGAACAGCTACTCGGAGTAATCGTGTTTTTAAATACTTGCGGTTGCTTTTAAGTACTGATGAGCTTTGTTTCTAAAGTTGGTGGTTCTTTGTCCTGAAAATGTACGTGGCGCTTTATGACCGCGTCAGCTGTGCTAGCTGCATTTTACCAGACGAGTTATTTCATCGAACAGCATTAACAAGTTTCCTGTAAAATTGCCCTGGTGACTTGACGACAACTTAAATTGTGACTGCTGTCTCAAGCTGTCTTTGAGCCTTGGAGGGGTTGAGGTGAGGAGACAGAGACCTCCCATCAGAGCCATAATCCAGACCTTGGTGATAACAGAAAGTAGCTGAAGCTTTATGCATGTTTACCAGGTGTCTGTTGTAATGTGCATATTTCACTGCCATACAATTTAGAATTGTACTGTTGAGTTTCTTTACCTGTGATGGGTTTTGTGGAGAGATCCATGTACGTATGTAAGCTTTGGTTTGGAAGCCAACAGACGAAACTTTTTTTTTTTTTTTGTTTGTTTTTTTTTTGTTTTGTTTTGTTTTTTTTTGAAGCAGGATTTAATCTGTTTTCAAAAGTGACATTTAAATCTTTGGTGCTTAAGTCTCATAAACATTTCCCATTGTCTTCCAAACTTTAAACATTTCAGATGATTAGTTGCATTGGGGAAACTTTTGGGAACCTTGATAATAACTGGAGCTACTCAGTTTCCCCGGCTGTTAAGGTCATTCCTTGGCACTAGTTAATAGGGATTATTGCCTGCTAAATGCATGCTTATTGCTTACCTAAAAGTAATATAAATGCATAGCCCCCCTCCCCCCTAGGCTTAACATGGGCACAACTCTTGCAGGAGCAAGCTAAAGTTGGTACAGCTGCATCTGCATTAGGTTTTGTAGCAGAATAGCTGCACACATGAAAAAAGAACTGTACCTGTGACTACCATAGTTGGGCCTGGTTTCTCTAACAAGCTTAAACCAGCTTAAGTTGTGAAGTCAGCTTTTGTTCTTCTATTTGGGATTCGTTTAAAACCTGACACGGTCATTTATTGAAACAGCTCTGAAATATTAAGAGGAGTTGGTTATGAGAAGTCAGGGTTATGATGGAAATTTCCCCCTCATAAATTTAATCTCTTAAAGTACTTTCTTATTTCTGCTTGCAGGAGAAACTTGCTACAGTAGCAACTGTAAAAAATGATTCAATCAAAGCTTTGGAGACAGCAATTGAAGAAGAAAAGAGAGAGCAATGGAGGGTTGAAGGCCGCAGTTATATCTTTGATGCCAAGCGGGTGGGTTGTCTAAAATTTTCTTTCTCCATACTCGTGGCCCTTTATCATAGGAGCCGAGCATTGCAAACAGAAAACAAGCAGCAAACCATTGTAGTATATATGTTACGGAGGGCTAATGTTAGAATTTGATTGTCACATCAGCAATTCAGCTGAAATTGCTTTATCAAATCCAAAGACTATGATAAGTTCTTCTGGACATCACACACTCAGTCACCGTCATATCAGCCTTTTTGTTGTTGTTTATTGGGTTTTTTTCTACAGTGATTATAGCTGTAATAGCTTCTTTCTTTTTGCTTAAGGCTGACCTTAATTTCTTTTTCTTTTCTTTTTTTAAACTAGAATAACATTGCTATGCTGCTGGAGATTAACTACCGAGAGAGATTGCTCATGGTGTATAATGAAGTGAAGAAGAGGTTAGACTATCAAATTGCTATGCAACATCTGAAGCGTCGTAAAGAACAAGATCACATGATCAGCTGGGTAGAGAGCAAAGTTGTTCAGAGCATCACGCCTCAACAGGTATTTAGAAGAAAGTTACAGGTTTTGGTTGTTAGCTTTGCTTTCTGATGCACAGTACAGGTTCCCAACTGCCTGATATAGTTGGCCAAAAATAAATCTGGATCTCCTTTGTGCTGGTCTTTCTGGGGGAGTCAGCAGGAGGCCAGGACAGTTAATTTTTGTCTTCTGAATTGTCCGTTGCTTGCCAGCACTTGAACTTGGGTGGTTGCTTGTGTTTATATTGCCCTGATTTTGTAACGTGAACTGTAAATCAGAGCCATCTTAGTTGGACGCTGATTTTGTGTGATCCAACGAAATGTGATTATGGCTGGGATGCATATGTTGCCCATTGAAATGTTTCGTAAGATTCTGTTTCAAGGCTTCTGAAAGCTGCTTCTTGTTGTCTTGCAGCACAAGGAAAGTATTGCCAAGTGCATCTTGGACCTGAAGGCATTATCGAAGGCTGCACAAGCAACAGTATAACTGCAGTGATTCCAGACACATCTTTGGTTTCTGTGACTTACTGTTGGAAACTATCATTCTGATTCTTAATTAAAATTTAACTTCTGTCAGTTACACTAAGTTGACAGCAGTCACCCTGTGGTCTGTTTGTGACGATACATTTTGACTTGTGCGTTCATTCATACCAGGGATTCTGCAGAATTCTCAATATCCAACTTGCTGTATTAAAGCCAGATCCCACTTCATATTGTTTTGGTATTGACTCTCCATGTGTGACCAATCCTATTTTATCTATTTGTTTGGGGGTTTTTTCTTCAGAGTCAAAATCTTACTCTTCCATCCAACATGCTGAATTGTGTAAAGCACTTGCCTCATTGATGGCTGTTACTGTCAAAGTGTTCACAGTTGTGGATATTAAATAAACAGAAGTGAATAGCAGAAATCAGGCCCTGGGTGAAGAAGGGGGGTTTATTGCTGTATTAGGGCAGCACTGGAGAACAGTGTCATCTTCATCTCTAGAGAAACAGCTTCATTACTCGATCAGATTAGTTGCTTCATAAGAGAACTTTCTCATGGGACGGTGGCCCAGTTTCCTATTGGGGTGTTTCTGCTTGCAACACTGACGTAATTAAATGCAGTTGCTTCAGTGTACATGGACACTTCATCCTTGGAAAGCAGAAAATTTTAAGTCCCACATCAAAGTTTTATAAGTATAGGGCCGGATGGTAGGAAGTAGGGAGCAAGAATTGCGTAATCCTACCCATTTTTAGGAAAGGTCCCTATAATCTGCTGGGACTATTCTGTTTAAAAGAGTAATTGAGTATCAACTGAATTACTCACTTATACAGAATAGTCTTAATCTTACTTTGTAGCAAGTACTGATATGATCAGTAATATTGCATCGTTTTCATACTTTTTGTTCTACTCTCTTCCTGAAGGAGTAGATGTGCTTCCTATTTACGTGTTGTTGCCAGAAGAGTAAAAGAGGTTTCCTCCAGCACATGCAACCTTTGACTTGTTGTATTGTCTGACTTTTTTTTTTTTTTTTTTTAAATGCTGTTGTCCTTGCTTCTGTATCTGTTGCTGTCAAATGTTCTCTTTGGTGGTTGTATGAGCACAATATCCTAAGATCACCATGTGCAGCTCATCAGTGAAATGTTGAGAGTAAGTACAGTTGAAGAGGATGGCTTGAGGTAGAGGTCTGTATCAAAGAGGATATGATCTCAACTGTCTGCACCTTTGTTTCTGCAGCAGACTATTGCAGGGGTGACTTGGTGACAGCCTGTAAGTACATAAGAGGCGTGCATCAGGATCTGGGGGAACGCGTGTTCACCGGAGCACCCCAAGGGATGACAAGGTCTAACGGTTGCAAACTCCTGCAAGACCATTTTAGGTTGAACATAAGGAAGAACTTTATTGTCCAAGCCCCCAAGGCCTGGAACAAACCCCCCAGAGGTGATGCAAGCACCTACTCTGAACACTTATGAGAAACATTTTGGATGTTTATCTCTCTGGGATCCTCTGACCACTGCTGACTTCCTTTCACTACCTAGCTAGCTATAGTTCCTATGTCTATAGATTGAGTTGAACTGGAAGTACGAGAACATAAGTTACGTAACAACTATTTTGCAAATGAGATTGCTCTAGCCACTGTAACAGTTGTACTACGCTTGTAGACATACAGTTCCATACAGAAAAAGTGTCTCCAGCTTAAACTAGCCGTTTTTCTTAAACAAAAACTCTGACCTAATTTATTTAATACAGAAATTATTTCTTTGGGATACAAACCTAGCAGCAAAATTGAAATTTTAAACTACCACTGAGTGCGAAAAAGTTTAGATGGCTACGTTCACCTTGCTTGCTTCTGAGCCCATTGGATAATGGGATGCAGACATTAGGCAAGTTTTTTTTCATATCCTGGAATAGGGAAAAGGATTTGTTGGGGGGGATAGTAATTTTACTTAAAGGGCCTTTCGCTTCTTCAAACATTTTTTTTTTTTTTTCCAGAAGTAGTGTGTTTCTGTCCATGTTACAAATCACAGTTGAGCAATGCACTTAATGCAAATGACTAGGAAATATCTTGTTGAATAAATTCCTTTCTGTTTAAGCAATGAGACTTTGAGATGTTTCATGCTTTCTGGCATAGGTTTGCTTTTGATACACCTGCGTTGGTCACAACTTTTAATTTTTAGGAACTTATGACCTGCTTGCTTTTATTTATTTATTTATTTATTTATTTTATTTATTTTTGCACACTCAATTATTTAAATCTGGATTTATGGGGCTTGAAAAACCAGAACGTTCTCCAGGTCTCAATTAAAAAAAATCTTAACTTTGCAAAGAGAAACGTGGGCAGCAACTGCCTTACTTGAAAATATGACGTTTTTAGTTTTTGAAGTTCCTAAAAGTGGGCACTTATTTTGTAATCAACCTTCCTGTATCTTAATTTTTGCAATTGCAAAACTTCCCTGTCTTCAGCACAATGTTCTCTCTAACCCAAAAGCTGACTGCTGTTTTAACAACTGAAGGGCTGGTGTAGATGTTGTAAAGCATCTGTAATTACAGACTGATTTGCTTTAGAGCAAGGGACACAAACGCTGTGTGTGTAGTTGTTAAAGCACTGGAGCATTTTCCTACTCGGGTAGGCAACAATTTTAGGGCACAAGGTAAGATGTTGCTATTTCATTTCTCTCAATTACCAGTGAAAATTTGGGGTGTTTTTTTGGTTGTCTTTTTTTAAAGGAATAGCCAGCGGCTGTATTTATAGCGATAGTAGAGGAAAATGAGATGCGCTGTTAGCGTACCAAACAGGACACTGCTTAATAAGGCTAGGAGCTTACTGAGATCTAGTGAGCTGTGCTCATTAACTACAAGAATCACTTGGGTTAAAGCTTTTTTGCACCTCATTAAGGCTGTGAAACAAGCATTTCATTTATATTATTTCAAATATTCTGTTGACATTTGATATAATGAAAAGGCTTTTGAAACAAAAAACCAGTGTTGTTAAAATAACTTTCTGATGAAAAATTGTTTCAAGGAACACTTTCTGACCTGCTCTAGTTGTCATGGCTGCTACAGAAGGGTATGTGCAAAGTTTTCAGACAAAAGAGTAGTTTTTAAGTTGGTATTTTCCCTTTTAATAGTGAAACTATTAAGGTTCATTTTATTCATTGCCTGTGCTCAGGTGCAGTGTAAGCTGGTAAGTTAGAGCAGGGAAGTAGGATGGTTTTCTTCCTGGCAGCTGCTGACTTGCAGCCTTTACTGCTTGTATGGGCCACTTATTACCTTCCTGTGTGATATGCCTCTCACACAGCAATATGGTTAGTAACACTTCCTTAGGTCACAGATGTGCCGTGAGTCTCAACCCATTTCTGGTTTGTTGTTTTTGTTGGGGTTTTTTTGAGCTCCTGGGAAGAAAAGCTTCAAAAAAAACACAAGTCAGAATGGATCCAGACTTTCCCAGAACATGGGACTCTTTCTCTAGACCCAGATTTTTGGTTTCTAGCACAAACTCCTAGTAGTAGTAGTATCATTATAACACTGGGGAGACGTCCGATCTCCAGGAATCGGATGACGACTGCTGGGACAAATTTAATAAAGGTGATCAATAAAGCTCTCAGAAATCAGGATTGGGTCCCAAAGCAACTATTTGCCTGCTTTTCTCTCTAGTTTTGCTTCTTGCTCCTTGTGTTTGAAGATAATGGGAGGCTCGGGTTCAACAACTGAGTCAACTTCAGGTACCTTCCTCTTAAACTCTGTTGTGGGCTGTGCTGGGAGGGCCATATTGGGAATGCCGGTGTGAATATATGGCTACACTTTAATTGTGCAAGTCTTCAAGGCTGCCATGTGGCAAAAATGCTGCGGCTCTGCATTTCTTCTAGCATAGAATATCCCAGCTCTGCTTTCAGTCACAAGTGTTTCATCCTTGCCACTTCATACAGAGAATGTAAATATTTTTCGAGTCCATTGTCATGCCACTCCATACAAACAGCTCTCTAGTGGGGCACAGAGTTTGTGGCAGGATAAAATACAATGCTGGTGAAACGTGACTCAGTTTACAGAAACATGATTCATTTTGACTCTCTTTGCATCTGCTTCTAGTGCCACCATCACCTTTGCCCATCACAACCACCAGCACACCTGCTCCAGACACCGTGATTACTACTACATCTGCTCCACACCCAACAACAGGAGCTAAAAGCTTTTTTGATGAGTAAACACAACCTGTTTTCTTCTGTGTTTTTTTCCAACCTGTTTTCTTCTGTTCTGCATAGATGTAATTCTGCTAAAGTCCATAGAATTAAATCAAGCCTGAGTCTATTTTCTTTTCTAGCTCAAGTCTTTTCCTACTGCTGAGAATAAAGTGACTTACCCTCTTCTCTCTATCTTGTTCTCCTTAGAACTATACCAGTGTGTATTGCATCTTGAATAGGCAATGTCAAAGCTGTCCATGTTGATAAGAACATCTGACTATCACCGTCTTCATCTCATACCCTCCTACAGATTTCTCTCAGATTCTTAATACTTCACAAAATGAACATCTTGGTCAGCCACCTGTGTAAATGTGGTGCCCAGTACTTAATTGAAAGCTGCATTTTTTACAAATTCCCAGAGGGGGGAATTCACACTCTCAGCAACACTACCAGACAGTGGCTTATAAATTTGGAAGTTGGTATCTGACATCAAAGAAAAGAAGAATTCTGGCACTTCTATAGCTGCATGTATCAGATCCCCAAGGCTTAAAATGATTCAAATGAAGAGTTTTGAAGTGATGTTGCTGTGACAGTCCAGTTGTGAGGGACAAGAATTCCTGCATAGATTCATAGATGGTAGAGTCGGAAGGGACCACAATGGTCATTGTGTCCGACCCCCTGCCCCTGGCAGGAAAGAGGACTGAGATCAGATGACCCCAGCCAGGTGACTGTTGAAGATCCTCCTGTTGAAAATCTCCAAGCTAGGTGATAGCACCACCTCTCTTGGAAGCCCATTCCAGATCCTGGCCACCCTTACTGTGAAAAATTTCTTCCTAATATCTAACCTAAATCCACTCTCAACTAGTTTACGCCCGTTATTCCTGGTCACTCCCTGGGGCGCCTCGGTAAACAGCGCTTCCCCTATTCCCCATTGACCTCCCCTAATGAATTTATAGGCGGCCACAAGATCTCCCCTCTTGTGAAGGCGGAAGAGATTCAGCTCTCTCAACCTCCCCCCGTAGGGTCTATCACAAAGGCCACTAATCATGCGAGTGGTCCTCCTCTGGATCCTCTCCAGTTTCCCTGTGTCCCTCTTGAAGTGCGGCATCCAAAAGTGGACACAGTACTCCAACTGCGGCCTGACCAGTGCTGCTTAGATGGGGAGCATCACTTCCTTTGATCTATTCGTCATGCACCTGCTCATGCACAACAAGGTGCGATTGGCCTTGTTACACTGCCGGCTCATGTTCATCTTGCAGTCAATTATGACTCCAAGATCCCTCTCTTCGTCCAAGCTGCTGAGAAGGACACTCCCCAACCTATAGGTGTACTAGGGGTTCCTCCTTCCCAGGTGGAGTATCTTACATTTTTCTTTATTACATTGCACCCTATTTCTCTCTGCCCATTGATCCAACCTGTCCAGGTCCACGTGAATCTGCTCCCTGCCCTCCGGTCTACTAACTTTGCCCCATAACTTGGTATCATCAGCTGACTTGGAGAGGGTGCTCTCTACACCCTCATCCAGATCGCTGACGAAGATATTAAATAATATCTGTCCAAGGATTGAACCCTGCAGGACTCCACTGCCCACCTCCCTCCAGGCTGAGAAGGAAGCATCCACCACCACTCTCTGGGTGCGGTCCCTAAGCCAGTTGGCCACCCACCTGACCATGTAGGCATCCACTCCACAGTCTGCTAGCTTCCTAATGAGGATAGGGTGCAAAACTGTGTCAAAGGACTTCCTGAAGTCCAGGAAGATGACATCAGCCTCGGCTCCTGTGTCCAGGCAGCGCGTGACCTGGTCATAGAAGGCTACAAGGTTTGTCAGGCAGGATCTACCTGTGACAAACCTGTGCTGGTTTCCCCTCAGCATCGTTTCCCCTGCCGGGCCTGCACAAATGTGCTCTTTGATTATTTTCTCTAGCATTTTCCCAGGAATAGAGGTAAGACTGACTGGTCTAAAGTTACCCGGCTCATCCCTTCTCCCTTTCTTGAAAATGGGCACCGCATCGGCCCTTCTCCAGTCCTCAAGGACCTGGCCAGAGCACCACGACTGCTTGAACAGCTGTGCCAGCGGCTCAGCTATGACACTGGCCAATTCTTTCAGCAGCCGTGGATGGAGGTCATCTGGGCCTGCTGACTTGTACCTGTCCAGCTCCTCCAGGAGCTCCTTAACTATTTTAGAACTAACCGTAGGCGGACTGGTGCCACGTGGACATCCGTCAATGATCGTGGTGGCTTGATCGGTACATAGAAATACTGAAGTGAAGAACTCATTGAAGAGCTCTGCTTTTTTCTCCGCATCAACCACCAACTGTCCTGATTTGTCCTGCAGGGGCCCTATGTTGCTCTGAGCTTTCCTTTTGCCTGCTATATACCTGAAGAAGGACTTTTTATTCTCTTTGATTGTTGAAGCCAGCCTGACCTCAAGCCCCGCCTTGGCCTGTCTAACTGATTCCCTGTAATGGCATGCCAGGGAGATATATTTCTGTTACTGGACCAACTGCGGGTTTGAGTTAGACACATGCAAGCTTTTTTTGGCATCATCTTCTTCAGGTACTTCTTTTGGTACTCTTCTTCAGCTACTTTGCAGAAGGGTACTGCAATACTCGAAAGATAGTCTATGTCTATCCCACCCCTGCGGTTAGTCCAATAAAAGATAGTGGTTGCAGGAATGGTTGCCTCTCAAATTATGTGTTATTGATTTAATTATTAAATGATGACTAAATTTATTCCAAAGTCTTGAGGCGTTGAGAGAGGTCTGAGCAGTGCTGCTGCCGTGACAGAGTGGAGAAGGGGGGATCTGAGCTATCGTCACTATAGAAATCAGATGTTGACCCACAATTTCCTGTCCCTCAACAGCCATGAGGTACTCTACATGTTGCTGTCCTTTCTTGCTGGTGCTTTGTTAGCCACTCTGGTATCCACAGTCATCTGGTTGATCATCGGACAAAGGAAAAAAAAATGTAAGTGACACAATGAGCAATAACGAGGGCAGCACTCAGGACTGTCAAAGCTTGTGATGACGCGGGTGAGCAGGTTATAGAGCTTCTTGTGCTCTGCATGTAAATGTTGTGGGTGGCACAAGTTGTCCACGGAGGGAATGACAATGTTACGATAGACACTCATTAGAGCGTCTCTTACAGGGGAGACCCTTTATCTTTTAAACGCAATTTTTTTCAGTCTTATAATAATGCTACTTTTCTCAGAATTGTGCTTGGGTTATATCTGCTACATCATTAACCACAATCACTTTTTGTTTGCCACTTGGCTGTGCACCATTTCAGCTAGAACGGGGGTAATTGTGCTGTTGCTCGTTGAAGTGTAAAAGCTTCCCACTACAGCCAAGACTAGACACTATTAAAATATATGCACCAGGATTTCCAAAGCACCCGCCTCTCAGCTTAGCTACTTCATTTAGCTGCCTGTTTCTTCAGATGGATCCAGCATCTATATCTTTCAGGACTCCTTCTGGGAGATGGGATGTATCACTCATGTGCTGATAGTCTTCCAGTCATTTCCCATTATTCCTATTACACGCACAAAAGGACAGAGAAGTCTTGGGGCAGGAGGCTCCACTTGCTGCAGCACAGATCCTCTGCAGGACGTGCCTCAAAAGTCCTAGTGACACTCCTCTCCCCCTTCAGTCCTTCCTGGCCACAGAATGACCGACCCCATAACCCAGGAGCTGTGACTTCTCAGGCCTGTCTATCGTTTCTATCCCTTTGTTTCTTTTTTAGATCACAAGAGATGCCAAGAGGCTTCTCTGCAGAAGGATGCTGTACAGTCCACGCAGCAGGCAGATGTGGAACATGCCCAGGAAAAGGTCAGAGCTGTTTCTTTGGTGTCTGTCAGGTATTTAAAGCTGAAATTTCAACTGTGTTATATACTATGCTTTATTGTATCTAAAAGTGAATTTGCAACTGAAAGGTGGCCTTTGCTTATGTAGATTTCACAGTTAATTGCAATTCCCCTTCACCTTAAAAGCAAGTGCTTTCCACTGCAAAACAATAAGCCTTCCCCTCTATCCTCACCCAGGGAGTAACCCCATCATTTTGGCACTGGCAAGGTATTTGTAGACTGGGAAGCTAGATAGTCCTTGCCTTGCTCCCAAAGGATTTAAAGGCCACGTTCCTCAAATGCCCTACAGCAGGGATAGGCAGCCCTTTCTGGCCATCAGACAGAATGACCCAACCTGGGTTCGAGGCATAGGCGAACTCTAGGACTGGTCTCCCTCGCACCAGTGACTGCTGCCGAGGCCCCATGCCTACTGCTCCGTGGGCTGTAGGTTGTCCTAGAGTCTCGGCCTCCTCTTCTACAACTCCTTATAGATGAACCCTTATATTTGTAGAAGGATGTGGTTCCCTGGTTATGTTAGGATAAAAATGTGCAAGGGAAATTTTCCATCATGTTTGTAGGCACGGATCAAGCGCTAAGTGAGAAGGTTACCAGGAAACTTAGCCATAAGGCTGGCTCCTTCATTGTTGTCCATTATGGACTTAATCCCCCTGAAGCTTCTAATGCTGGGTTCTCTCCCAGGATCTTAGGATCCATTGGTCTGATGCAGCCTGGATATAAATGTTTCCCAGAAACCAAGGCAGGTTGGGACAGCTCATGCTATGCTGTTTTGAGAGCGTGGTGGGAGCAAGCTGAAGGGTGGGAAGTCCAGCCGCAAGGGCAGCACTGGCTCACACCCCATTCCTGTTCTCAGCTTCCCCAGGACGAAGTCAGTTATGCCTCTTTGACTTTCAAGAAGACACCCAAGCCCGTTGCTGAGAAATGAAGACACCGCTGCTGCCTCCGGCTCAAAGGAAGGCGGCCGTGTTGAAACAATGTGCTGGCTTCGCTCAGAACGACATTGCCAAATGTTGCCTGTGAGACATCAGCCAAGTGATTTGTTGAGCTGCATTGAGGTCTGTGGCACAAGAAAGTGTGGTCAGAGCAGAAAGTCATGCAGCACTGCTTTCACCGTACGGACAAATACACTTGGAGCAGCTTCAAAACAGGAGAGGGAACTTATGCTTAAGAGTGTCCCTCACCTATTACATGACCTGTTAGATGTGCGTGAGCCTGTAGTGATATAAATGAGCTCAGTTGCCCCAGCTTTAAAGTTGGGTGAAGGAGAGTTAAATTAGGAGTATTTCTGTCCTAAGCTGTAACATCTCCTCGCCTTTTGAAGCCTCTTTATGTGTGCTTGTCTCTCTCCTCACTGCGCGCTTTTGAAATCACTTACCTTTGTGTCACAGTTTCTTCTTCTGTGTCTGGCTGATAAGACTACTTGAGAAACACCAGTGCTTTCTCTTTACATTCTTTCTGCCCTTGTAAAACTTCTCTCTCTGTCTTAATCAGCACGAAAAGGACAGGAAATATTTACCACTTATCGTATTTAATCGTGTGTGAAAATCTGCCCATTGAATGTTTTGTTTTTCCACGCTCTTCTTAAATTACTTTGGACTCAAACGGTCCTTCTTATTGTGCCTCTGCTTCAATTATGAATTGCTTTGGTTAACTAGGTTAATTTTTAAAAAATGGATAGCTTATGCAAATTTCTGCTTCCATGTTGGATCATAGGAGATAAGAAGCTTGTTTTCCTGGACTTGTGACTTCATCTCTACAATTGTAGTTGCAGAGAGATGCTGCTGTGCTTATGAACTCCCTGGCTCTACTGGGGACGTTCAAACAGCCGTAACACTAATCAGATAGCAATGGCCCATCTCATGCTGGCAGAACATCAGGTGTGTTAACAGCACTCACTTACCAAGCATTTGACAGAGGTGCATGAGAATCATTATCCTCATTTTGCCACAGGAGCAAATGCAGTGATTAAGTTGTAATGAAATGTCGCCATCCATCACCACATCTGCCAAGGAGGAGGGGGAATTAAGCCCTGCTTACCCACATCAGGTAAAAGCAGGGACTAAAGCTGCCCTCTGGTTTTAGCTGTTCCACTCCCTCCAGCAGCCACAAACGCTATGCTTTAACCTGTTGCGGACTGGTCACTGAGAGGTTTGGGGGGGTTTCAGTATCGGTACCAGAATTGGGAGTAGAAGCCAAATCTTTAAATGCCCAGCCCCAAGCCCTGTTACCTGAGGATTGAATCCTTCTTCAGATTAGTCAGTGCATGATGCTGGATTGTTATAACTGCAAACAGGTGTCATCTGCATATTTGGGTGCCCAGACACCTTTGCATCCAGCCCTAATTCTTTTGGGTCCATGCAAAATGACTGTGCACTTGAACAGGAGTAAAAATCCCCAGTGTCTGACTGAAAGAAGCACCAATCAGTAAATGACAAAAGGACAGGAAACATTTGCAAGCTTTAAAAAAAATCACTTTGCGTTGGAACACAAAGGATTAAATGGCCATGTGATGGCAGCAAAAGGTAATGAATGGGGAACCCCAGTTTATAACAACTGACTCTTGAGATCTGTTCTTAGTCATTCACTAATGCTTAAAGCAACCCATTTTTAGCTGTTAATATGGCATGACGTTGCTAACAAAGAACACAGCTTTGGGGGACCATTGATATCATATGAACTTTGGGGTTTGTAAGGAGAGGTACAAATGTGTGTGGCTTTTATGGTGGTTTTCAATCCTTCCTTCTGCTTGACTTCAGACTAACACAGCTACCTACCTCTTTCTCTCTCTTTTTTTTTCTTTTTTCTTTACCATGGATTGCTTGCGTGGTTCTGGTAAAAGAGTTTGGATGAGTTGCATGATGTGTGGATTTGTGAAGACAACATAAAACTTATTGCTGCTGTACGCGCACAAACAAATGGATGAGTTTGGTATAAGACTGCACGCACTTCTCTCCTGTGTGGCTTCAGTGCATGTGTATTTACAAGTCCGTGATGGCGATCCTGTAAGGCCCTGAGTGGAGCTCGACGAGCAGACCTCAATTCTTGAATGCATCCGTTTTCATAATGTTGTTAGTCCTCAAAGTACAGAAGGAGGGATGAGGATGGCAAACACTGAAGCAACATGAGTTGCTACGCAGACATTGTGGACCATTCTGCGAAATGAAGTCAGCAAGCGCCATGAACACTGCAAGCAACACATGGTTTTCTCCAGGACACAGATTAGTCTGTTGTTGGTCTTTGACAAGGCACCAGATTTTCTAGCAAAAGGAAATGCGATAAATGCAGTTTATCTCTATTTGAGCAAAAGACGTAGCAGAGCCACAGGGGACATAGTAACTAATGAAGATGGAAAAGAGGGGAGTTCATAAGGCAGTTTTGAATGATGACAGGTTTTACAAGTGGGGGTGACGATTTTTTTTTACGGAGTGGGCAACTATCAGGCTGAAGGCAGGTTACATGTCAAGTTCCCCCTGGACAGATCTTGCAGCTTTCTGATTTAATACTTTCATGTGTGACCTTGGCTGCAGCAGTAGACCTGTGCCATGGAACCAACAGTGGGAGGCACTGTCGGTACAAAGGAGGATTGGAATATTATACAGGGAAAACGAGATGACCCTGGGGACTGAGTAATAAAAACAGCACGAATGGTGCAGTATAAAATGCAAGGTCAGGCACGTGGAGACTAACTACAGGAGTTTCTGCTATAAACAGAGAACTCGCTAGCTAAAAGGTGACAGAGGAGAGTAGCTTGCACAGCTTAGCTGACTAGAAGCCAACTGTGTGGTGCACCCATAGAAAAGGCAAATGTAATCGTAGGCTATGTATTAGGCAAGGTATTTCCAACAGTGATAGGAAAGCATTGGTGCCATTGTAACCAGACAGGGGTAAGACCTTATCTGGAAGCTGGTTGCAGTTCTAAGGCTGTGTTTGCAGGGTAAACTTACTGTGCCAGGCAGCAGAACAGTAACACCGTGGTCGAGGACTGCATACCACACCACACGGGCTGCCTTCAGACCACAGCTGTGTGCGCCATGCTCCACGTGGACTGGGGAACGTGGGAGCAGGCTACCTGGCACAGTCACCCAGCAGTGTGTATTAGCTCTGTCAGTGTGGCAATCCTGCTGCTACCATTTGCACGCGTGAGTTTTTGGGCACAGAGAAAGGGGCAAGGTGTCAGAACCTCTGTGACTCTTTCCGAAAACCTGGTTATGGCGATTTTCTGGGTCACATTGCTAACCACCAAGGGAGCCAGAAATAGAACATTTCTGTTTCTCTCTGTCTCCAATTTCGCACCCAGTGTAGATGACAGTGACCCCTTCAAAGCGCCGTGTAGCGAAGGCCATGTGTTCATCTCCAAACCCCCAAAATGCACTATGGCTCCATGAGGTTTAAGTAGCAATTGTTACAAATTCCCTTTTTTGTTTTGTTCCTCCAAAATACCTTCCCTAGCCCAGTTTGGATTTAGACCTGATAGCAGTTATGGCCACCCGATGATGGGTGGCAGCTGAGAGAAACTGGAAAGCCTGCAACTATGAGCCGTTCTGAGGAAGAAGGCGCATAGCTCACGGTGAACCCAAAGCCATTTCTCTTCCTGTAGTAAACGTGATAACAGCAAGCGGAGACAATTCAGCTCCGAGAAAGCCAGCAGCAAGGCCCGTTCCTGTCAGCTGGGATGCCGCACAATGAGGGTGAAGGTGGCTTTCCACGCAGAACTGGACTGAGGCCCAAATGGGTCATTTCCACACCATTCACTAAAACTCAGCCAACTGGACAGCAACAGGTTTGGCTGCCAGGAGGCTCTGTGCTAACCAGAGGGCCACAAGCTTTCAGGTTTGTGTAAGCCAAGCGCGTTGCATGTCCCAGAGGTTTCTAACAGTCCTCCATCCCTCTCTTTTTGCAGGACTCTGCAATCCCCTCAGTCAGACTTTCCCTCGTTCCAGGGCATTTATGTCTCCTCCACTCCCCCCACCAAGGCCAGGCACTGTCTGCTAGCCAGTTCTTAACAGCAGCCATGAACTGGTTCTTGTATAGACAATGATCATGGTGATGTAGGGCTGCTGGGTCTGCTAAATGTGTACGTGCCCCCACTTCCCCTTTCTGGGTTTCGGGTTTTCACCAGGCAGACGGGAGTCTGCTCACTGATGCCTTAACATGTTCGGATGTTTTGTAACTGCGTGCATGCAACATTCAAAAGCTGTCCCGGGCAAACAGATAGGATATTGCTTAACTCAACCACTGAGTCTAGCCCAGGCATTTGGGTAAGATAGACCCCTGCGAAGAAGGGTATCCTGAGGGTGAAGGTGCACCCCTGAACCTATGGCTTAGTTGGGACTTAATTAGTGCATAGGGCTCATACTGGCTTTGCGCACTGGGCTGAAGCTTCACTACAGAGCGGTAACCAGATTGTGCTGTCTCCAGCAGGAAACATCTCCAGGTAGTGTCTCGGTCTGGGAAGTTAAGGGGTATTATTGCTAGTGTGATGAGGAGGGTAGGCTTTGTAAGTCCCTACACAGAGGTGGTTCGTAGATAGTCTTCCAGAGCAGGGAAAACAATACAGGTGCTCAGCATAAGAAGGGATTTCCAGGGACTCTTTCTGAAAGGATGTGGAAGTGGGCCCAACTGTGGTGAGGTACTAAATGCCTTTATAAGAGAAGGGTGTAGCACCTATGCTAGTAACATGAGTTCTAAGACCTCCGTGGGAGTTTGCTGGGCTGGGTTGGGCTAGAAACCATACCAGTGTCTCTGTGAGGTTTCATTTAGACCGGCACCACACAATGGGTTTGTCTGAGCTTCATTAGATGATCTAGTTGGGCTGAGCCTTTTTGCTGCTCTTTTGCTGGGAAGCTGAGCTAGTCCATCAGGTGGTGGGGCTTTGGCTCCGTTTCCCCACGCTCACTTGGTTTCAGACAGTGCCACTGCTGATGCCCTGGGGATAATCCTTTGGCCTGAGAAGTCCCAGCTCCCAGGTTATGGGGCCAGGCATTCTTTGGCCAAGCCCACGCAGTCCTAGTGTCTGCAGCAGAGCGTCTGTCTCCTGAGCGAGGAGCTGCACTGAATTCTCCTGTCCTTATACAGGCGGTGGCAATGCCCTCACTGGCCGGTCCATCTTTTAAATCCCTCTGCGCATACCAGGGAATATTAATTCCCTGAGAGATTATGCCAGGCGGCTTGGTCTGAAGACCAAGGAATAGCTTTTCTTACCAGTGACTTCCTCTGTTGGGCAGCACAGAACAAGGGGCTCTGTCTTTCTCTGATTGCCCCATAACCATTTTCCCCAGCTTCTGTCTGTGTCTCATTTTCATCCTATCCCCCCCTCATTAAAAAACACATGACCTTACACGCTGACTGGTGCTATTTAATGCCGGTAAGTAGTTGCACCTTGCTCTGATCAGTGAAAAGGCTTCTCTGATCTCACGTGTGAGCGTGGTTTAAGCTCGCTCAAAAGAAAAGCCTCTTGTGGAAGTCCTTCTGCTCTGGGTGGGAATGCTGGGTGTGCTCTTGCACATCAGGAGCAACACGCGCCACGTGGCAGAAGTCAGTGGGATTCCTCCCAGCTATGATACCACGTCCCCTTTCAACCCAAATGATTTGTAAAACATTTGGGGCCTGTGAGGATGTTGCGATGAAGAGGACGAATAATTGGTGATGGAGTCGGGGGTGTCCTGGAGGCAGTCCTGTTTATTTATAAAAGGCGTGCAACCACAGCAGATGTCAGGCAAAAGGCAGGGTCTTTGCAGACACTTTTCCGTTCAGCTTCTCTTCCAGTCGGCACGTCTCCCTGAAATCCCTCAAGGCCACGTACCCAGGTCTTCGGTGTTTTCTCTTGCTCCGCTCGCTCCACCGGCCAGTCCCCTCAGCCCCACGTTTGCCGTCTCCGTCCCCATGAAGCCCCCTCAGCCCTGTTTCTGTTTAGCTTTGCCATGTGCATCTCTGCTTTGGGCTGCAGCCCCTTGTGTTTCAGCTCTCACTGAAGGGAAAGCCATAGCATTGCTCCCTCAGTGAGCTGCAGCTGAAGGCCAGTGGCGAGGTCTACCGGTTTCACCGGGACTTAACCCCACCTCTAACAGTTTATCCACCCTTTATCTTAAATATATTAATCACATCTCAGCCTCTTGTGATTTACCCAAGCATCTCATCTTTGAAAATAGCAGAAGCCCCAACCCAAAATGCCTCCAAAATGCTTGCAGCTTGTTCTCATATTGCTAACAGCGCTGCTGGTGGCTTCAAACCTCAGGGTAGCTACTGTCATTGAGGTGTCCTGAGGTGCAACCACAATCAAGACAAGGTGGTTTGGCTTACTGTGAGGTAATTCTTTTTATTGAGCTTAAAATTAATTGCGTTGCCTTCAGTGTGCTTTTGTCTGGGGTTGATGTGTGTTAGTTTACAGATTCATAGACGTAGGGTCGGAAGGGACCTTGCAGATCTTCTAGTCCGACCCCCTGCCCTGGGGTAAAACAATGTGGCTTTTCTAGCGCAAAGACAAAGCCTACAACAGGTGTGGTACGAGAGGATTGGGAGAATACACCCTGTTCGTCACTGCCTGCCCTGTGACCCGCTCTTTGCTCTGCATGTATTTGCCTTGGCCTGTTTTAACAGAGGATATTTGAAACATTAAAAGCAAGGTGATATGATGAAAGTGTTCTGCTCTGTAAATGGCTCCCATGTTACCCATGCTACAGTATTGCCTGGAAGCCTCCCCCTCACATCAGGGCCCATTGTGCATGGCCCCATGGAGGCTGTAGTTCAAAGAGATGGGTAAAGAGCTGAGGCACGCACACCCGCAAGGAGCCTGGGGCACAAAACCAAACCCCTGTCTCCGACATGCCGGAGCGGTGAAAACATCCAACAGTGCTATGTGGTTTTCAGCCGTAAGGCAGAATAAACCTGCAATGACTTAAAAAAAAGCTTTAGAGTTTGCAGCAGAGGTTTCCCTTGATACTTAAAGCAGTCCCTGTCCCATCAGCTGATCTGCTAAAAGGCAGTCTGAGTCTTTGTCTGTTGTGGTGGCGCCTTCATTGTAGGGGTCTCAGGAATTCGTGTAGGAGATGCATTTCGCGTGGAGCAAGTCTCTATTCCTTTAGCACCTCTGCCACGGCTGCTACTGCCTTATTCAAGTCACCAAAACCCTTCAGGTGCTCTGCAGGCATTTTTCAAAGATGGAAGGACACCCATGAATTTCAGGCTAATGAAAGAGGCCCAGATGACTCTGTAGAAATAATAGTTTCCATTGCCTATTCAGTCTTGGTCTTTCCACTGAGATGGTCACCACGGTGCTCAGTTATATCAGGATGATTTTGTGATGGTCCACATCACATCAGTTCACATCAGTTGCTCACAAGTCATCAATACAGAGATGCTAGCAAAGCAGTAGAGCTGGGACACCTGGTCTCTGGGAAAGTGCTAGAGACGTATAGCAGACAAGGTTCTTTTGGTAAACCCGATATCTTTTATTATTATTTTATTATTATTTTAACTATTTGAGTTGGTCTAATAAAAGATGTTGGATTTACCCAAAGAACCTTTCAGACCAACACAGCTACACCCTACACCCCAGAGATGTATAGCTTCACTGGAGGGAAAACCAATAGGGTAGTAAAAGGTCCACCTGAGGACAGTGAATTATTAGAAGCGGATCATATATTTCCACTTGAGCTAAATTACAAAGCAGGGTTATGTATCTGTTTGTCTACCTTTCTAGCTAATCGTGAACTTGAACATACGCTGACAGTGCAGTATACTTCCTTACTTTATGACACCCGATCTGACGGAGTCTCGATGCTTGAAATAACTTGTTCTGAATCTGTGCACAGGACGTAGGTTTTAAAAATAAGAATATAAGTTTCTTTGAACTTCTTTATCCTGCAAGCATACACGATGGGGTTCATGGCTGAGTTGGCGTGAGACAGCAGGATGCCCAGGTACAGCAGAGGCTTTGGGATGTCACAGTCATGACAGAAATAGGAAATGCAGTTGAAGATGCACAGAGGAAGCCAGGACACTGCAAAAAGGAAGAGGACGAGGGCCAGAGATTTAGCTGTCTTGAACTCCTTCCCATAAAACCCACCTGCCATTTTTATGCTGGCCGTACTTTGGCTTAACTTCATGTAGATGATGTAGAAGACTTCAACATACAAGACACACATGATGATCAGAGGGATGAGGATACAGATGAAGAAGCCAAAATACACCATGTAGTCCATCCTCATCACAGTGGTGAATTTACACTGGAGGCAGCTGGAGTTGCCTGTTCCTATCACTGTCTCCTTCTTATTCCATCCAAACATGGGGACAAATGCTGCTAGCAGAGACACCAGCCAGCACAATCCCAGAGCAACCCAAATTCTCCTCTGTGTGGTGATGATCTTATACCTGCCAGGGGGAGAAAACAGAGACCTTATTAGAGATAGCAAGGCAGCATTCATATTTCACAGGTTCAAACGCTGCAGATGTTTGGTGAACTGAGCTCTCTTTTGGCCAACAGTCCTTGTTAGGAGAGAAAGAACAAGTTGTCGGTCATTTTGCATCATTTGAGGAACAAGGGCTCAGTTTCTACCAGTGCTGTCCCGTATCAGTAGATCATCTCTCAGCGATCACATTTTCAGTCTCGAGACGATCGCTGCGTTCCCACAGCCAGGGTACAATCTACCTTTAAACCCGCTCCCCTTACAAGGGAGAAAGAGTAAAATGCAAATCAGGCTGCACAGTGAACAAAATACCCAAAGAACACAACTTTTTCTCCACTTTGCTGATGCCTGGACCCTAAATATATAATGGTCTGTCTGTCTTGCAGTAGTCTAGGAGCCCTCACCCAAGAAGAAAAGGCAGCTTTGTGCTCCAAAGAGCTGTTCTCAATGGGTTTTTACAACACAAGCAGTATGACAGAAATAGGAAACACAACACAAGTAGTATCTTGGAAACCCAGTAACTGAAAACTGGCCCTGACTTACCTGGTGTGCAGCTTTACCCGCAGGTACCGGTCAATGGCAATGGCCAGGAGAGACAGGATGGAGGCATTTGTAAAGAAAATGAGCAGGCAGCACACGAACAGGCAGGCATAGAAGGGTATGACGAGTCCCTGGCTCACCACGATGGCCAGCGGCATGACCAGAAGCCCCACGGCTATGTCGGCGAGTGCCAAGGAGATGATGAAGTAGAAGGTGGTGTTCTGGAAAGACGGGTTGAGCTTCACTACCCCGATGACCAGGGCGTTGCCTACAGTCGCAGACACTGCAATGATGGACTCCACCGCAATGTATATCGCATCCTGGGTGCTCAGGGACGTGCTGCTGTTTGTCATTGTGAATCACAGGAAATATCTCCGGCAGGCTCCAGGTGGAGAAGCGAGGGGAAGGAAAAGAGCCAGAATTATCTTGAGAGGACCTCTCCTACCATGTTGTCTAGACTTAACCGTCTCAATGACACTTGTTAGAATAGATGCTTCCTCCAGCATGTCTCAGAGTAACCTTCTTCCAGCTCTTCCCCATTCTTAGAAGTGCAAAATGGAAATATCCCCTGGACATCCACGGATCACCGTCCTCCCTAGACAGTCCGCTCCTCAATGGCAAGGGCTCCCTCTCACTTCCTTCGGGTCATCACAGCAGGTCGGAGAGTCACTTTGAAGCAGTCAGGAAGCTTGTACCAAAAAGAGGCAGCCCCCAGATTCAGCCCCTATTAGCCAGCCACTGCATGCTTTTGCAGCTGCCTCTTCACAGCCTTGCTGACCGAAAAGTCAGTGTTTCTTCTGCAGAAAATTGTTTGTAACACATTATCAATCTAGATAAGCACTGTGCACTATTAATAGGAAATGAGATGTTTAAGAGGAAGTAGAAAGCCACTAGGACCCCCCTTTAAATTTCTGCCTCCTACTTGAGTTCGGATAAAATTGCATCTGCTGGCGCTACTCTCCAGATAAGGATCTCAGTGGGACGTGGCCCCCGTACTTTAGAGAGACTTCTTCCTCACCTGTAAGACAGCCGTGCACTTTGGATAGCTAGTATGACTGGGATGTTTTTTTCCTGGTATAGAGGTAAGGCCTTTCCAAAAATGAAAGCCATACCATACATGTCTCCCCACTGTCTTGCTGCACAAAACCTTCCTGCAGTGCAAGTCCTGAGGAATAACTTGTCATGGACAGAAAAAAGAAAGGGACAGAAGAAAGCAAGCGGGGGTGGGGGTACACCGAGAAGAGTGTGTATTAGAGAGAGAGAGCCCACGAGAGCAATCTAAGCAGAAGCAATTAAATTGAGCAGTAAGCACCTGGGCTAATTATGAAAAAGCATCTGTAAGTCGCTTACTTTTTGGATTTCCTCAGCTTTCACTCAGACAGGCAAATGCTAGTTGTGCCAAAAGAAGCAAATGGCATTCTTAACATGAGTGCTAAATGCTGGTGACACAACAAGGAGCAGCACCTTTGACTGGCAAAGGCTAAATAATCAGTTCCTTAAATGACATGCTTATTTCCTCCGAGCAGACGTTGCTTAGGAGCAGCCCTGGCAAGGTGGAAGTGAAATCAGCCCCCAATTCAAGCACTGCCCTGTGAATGGATAGTTGGCCAGATTCGCCCTGGCTGCAACCTCACTGACTGGCCAGGGCCAGAGCTTGACTTGTTTGAATCGCCTGGGGATGAAGAGGAGGAGCGTGTTGATGAAGGCATTGGGCTGGTTTTTTGCTACTGATGGGAATGAGACCTAGACAATGGGCAAGGTGAGCCAGATCCAAAGCCCATCAGAAGGCTTTCCATTAACTTCAGTGGGTCTTGGACCAGGTTTTCGAGATGAAGGAGCATGGGCAGGAAAGGAGAGGAGAGCCTACACGGCGAAGGTTGTTTGTGCTGAGGATGAGCCTCACTTAAATGAGACAAAGCCAGGGCAGGTATGATTGTGGTGAGCAGTGCACACATGCAAGGGCCCAGAGGATTCAGCAGCTTCCCATCCGATCCAGGTGATCCGAGAGCCTGGGCTCCATTGATGGCAATGGAAAAGCCGAGGGCAGGGATCACATACTGGGAACTGTCTCGTGCAGCTTGGGCCCAACACTCCCGACGAGGTCCCCAGGCTCAGCTCTTCCCCAGACAGCCATTTCAGCTGCAGCAGGGCTTTCCCCTGGCCCAGTGTGATGCACGTTTCAAGCTGTGTATGCGAACAATGAATGTGTGAACAACCACACTCCCCCACCACACGTTGTTATATATTTGGCAGACTAGTGCAGACCAAATGCACGTGACACACAGTCATCACCAGTGAAGAGGCGCACAAGATTACACCCCTGAGTTATTTGCTACGCTCCCCCCCACCCCGTGCAACACTAAACTGAGTTCCCTCTCTGGGCTGGAGAAACAGAGCTGGGTGAAACGTAGGTTCTCTACCTTGGGTCCCCTACCCACATCCTGTAATCAGCAACATTTGCTTCCTTTTACTGTCACTAGTCCTCAGAGGCTCGTGCTGTGGTCAGTGCTGCCTGAAGCAATGGCTGCCTGTGAGGGGCTGTTTCTTGTCCCCTGCCTGTCTCAGGGCACAGAAACACTCCCTAAGCCAAACAGTTTGGTCCTGCTTGGAATCTGGGGTCCTCTTGGGTCCAAAAGGAAACGGCAAATTCATCCTAACACATTTCACTAACCCAGGACCCATCCATATCTTTCTTCACAGCTACCCGCTCTGTGAATCAGACACCCGGCACCAGGGCACAAAGCTGCTGAGGTCCTTGGGTGGCACCTTTTTTTGCAGTATTGTCTATTCAGTGCATAGCAGCATGGGGCCCTCATCCTAGTTTGGGCTCCCTGAGGGCTACTGTAAAACTCCATTTTTCCCATATCAGACTGCAATGGGGCGATGGAGATGAACAAAAAATAACATGCAAGCCACATTTGAGGGGTTCCCCAGGCTTTACCATCACGAATAACCTGATCTGATTCCCACTGGGAGTTTTTTCACTGACTTCAGCAAGAGGTGGTTCAGGTCAGAGAAAAGCAACTGCCGCAGAACAGCGGAGCTGAGTGGAGATTTTATTATTTCCAGTCCTGCCCAGTGTGGATGTTCCTGGTCTTCATTTCAGTTGAGAGCCCACGAGACCACAGGCATTCGGGACAGACTGACTGACCCGCTGCTTCGACACCAGCTGCTTGACTTTCCATGCAAGATGTGTGCCTAACTCACTTTGGCTTCTTTGAGACTCTTAGCCCTCTGTGAGCCTTGTCATATTTATTCCCTGAGTGCTAAATATTGGCTTGACCTGCATCAGTTTTAGTCACTTTTACCCGAGTTGTGACACCTTTTGGATGAGCCACAAAACCTAAGCCCCTAACCGCAGCTGCTGCGTGCCAGAGACATCAGATATTTCAGAAGAAACACAGCTCAGCCATAATCTCCTGAGCATCTAACAGCTGAGAGCTTCACCTAAATTCTCCTCTTTGCCACTTTTCTCCTGACTTTGCATTAGAGCTGTGAAGGAGCGAGGATTTCTGTTTCCTGGTGAATCCCAGGATTTTGCAACTGGCTCCAGTTTCAAAGTGGAACCAAAATATACATTTAAAAAATATCTGTAAAACAAAATAGTTGCAGGAGGAGCAGGGGAAGTAAAATCACTTAAAGTCAATTATGGCATTTTGTTCAAAATGTTGGAGGGCGGGGGGTTGTTATTTTTTCTAATTCTAAATATACTACCTTTGAGATCAAAAGTCACTTTGATAAGGAAAAAGCAAAATTTCCATTTTGATACAGTTGGAAACATGTTAATGATCTGATCAGATCCACAATGCTTTATTTCCTTTCCTAATTGAGACTGTGTTGTAATTGAAATGTTCCAATGGAAAATCTGAGGTTCAGCAAAATAGCCCCATCCAGCGGAAGAATATTTGGCGGGAATTTTTTTAACAAGCTCAGCATTGGAGAGAGCCTACCCAGGCAGGTTATGAAAGGTTGCTGTTGCAGCCTGGCTGCTGTGTTCAACCTAAAGGAAGCAGCCATTTCTTGGCTGCAAAATACACACAAACATACACACAAAAGACAGTGGCTGCATTTGATAAAGTGCTTTGGCCTTGCAGGATGGTTGCTCATTATATTGCAATTACATAAATCTCTTCCTCTGGAGGGCGAATTAGGAGCAGCCACATCTGGGAGAGTGAGCAGAGCTTTTCCAGAATGATTACACCTGTCTTTACGTTTCACTGCTCCTCCATGAGCTATGTCTCCTTAGCAAGGGCTTTACTGAGTTTTCATTCATCTCTCCTCATGCTCATTAGCCCAGCAAAAAAAATCTTTAAAGACAAAGAAGACTCATTCTTGAATGTTCCCTGACTTCTTCTAAGCATCCTTGGTTTGGTTGCAAAAAAAACTACACACTTCCCACGTAACTAGAGGAAATACAGCCAGAAAAGGAGCAGTTCTGCAAATCGGTGGCCTGGTGGGTAAAAGAGGCTCTTCACGTTAGGAATAACAAAAGGTTCAAGTGGTCTCTTTGGGATCCAGAATCAAGCCACAGAATTTGCTTGGACCCTGTGTGGCGGTGCAAGCACTACTGAGGCAGGGTCCTCTGCAACACTGGTGTCTAGATGCAGCAAGCACTAAATGGGGGCCAGGAGCAGGAGGGCTGCCATGGCATGAAGCTCTGCCGCGGGATGTTTGCCTTGCTGAGAAGCACGCGGCGTGGACAGAGCCTGGGCTTCTGAACATGCCTTGCACACCCACAGAGTGCTAAGAAGAATTTTTCCAACTGCTGTATTTGAGTTGGTCTCATAACAGATATTGGATTTATCCAAAGAACCTTGTTTGCACACCCACAGAGTTTCAGGTCTACGTTGGAAGCTTGCAAATTAAAAACCAATCAATCCCTCCCTTTTCCTGGGCTCCCCACCTTCTCTTCTGAAAGGGAGGGGACAAACAATGCTCGTCGACCTGGAAATGGAGTGAAGCTCAAAGTCACATTTCACTTTTAAAATTGAAACCCACAGACAGAATCCACAAAAAAGCACACGCTGTTATCAGCTTTGCTGCTGTCATTGAATTGTTTGACTTTTTAAACACTTTCAAGCTCTAAGACACTGGATCCAGAAACAGGTGAAGAGCATGAAGGAGCTGCACGCCCAGATGTGTCAGTGCTACAGAAGGGAAATGCACGGGGAGGAGTCTGCACCCTTCATCTACAGGTGGCACTTGATAGGGTCAAAACTGAACCCTCTGCTCGATCTATGCTGTAGGCAGAGTGCAAAGTGCTGGAGGTGGGGCATACTGCAAATGCTAGCGGGTGGTTCTGCTGTGGAGGGGAATCATCTCATACATGCTTATTCTCTTGGGCCTCCTTTTTGATGCCTAGCCTGTGCGGTCAGAGGAGAGTCTCTTCTGGTCGAGATGGCAGAGAACAGCTCAGCTATGAGCAGCCTGGATAAATTCTATATTGCTTTTGAGGCCATGATTGGGGTGTCTGCAGCTGTGGGCAACGCCCTGGTCATCTGCGTGGTGAGGCTAAACCCGGCTTTCCAGAACAACACCTTCTACTTCATTGTCTCCCTGGCACTGGCTGATATAGCCATGGGGCTCCTGGTCATGCCGCTGGCCATCGTGATCAACCTGGGGATTGTCATGCACTTCTACTTCTGTCTGTTCCTGTGCTGCCTGCTGATGGTCTTCTCCCATGCCTCCATCCTGTCGCTCCTGGCCATT